ACATGGATTTTGATATATTTTTCATATATACATATATATAAATATATAAAATATATGAAAGACTGATGTAATTTGTTAATTATGTATCTAGAGATAGAGCATTTTCGAATGCAGCCTAAATACTTATCATAATAAATTGACTATCTGTGAGAATGATATGAAACCTTGAAAAGGCACAAATTCAAGTCAAGACCTTTGAAATGACACTAAGTTTCACAAAAAAAAAAATCGATTTTTTCATATAACTATCCTGGATACAAAATTTTTTTATCCTCAATAATATAAATACAAAAATGTATTTACATTTTTTTTTTTTTTAATTTAAAAAATTGGCAAATGTCAGCTTCATAAAAAAACTTCTAAAAACTATTAAATGTCTCTTAATTTAATTATAATCATTATAATTAAAATTGTTAATTATTAAATTACAGAGGCGGTTTAATATTCACTACAGGATTCAGCAAAATGTCTGAGCGTCAGTATTCGTTGCGGGCACCAGATATGCTAGGAGAACCAATAGTTATGGTTGAATTGGACACCAGCAATGGAGTAATGTTCCCTCTGTATGACCCAGACACCAGTCTTGTCTACTTATGCGGCAAGGGCGACTCTGTTATCCGGTACTTTGAAATCACTCCAGAACCGCCATTTGTTCATTATATCAATACCTTCCAAACACCCGATCCACAACGTGGTATCGGAATGATGCCAAAACGCGGCTGTGACGTTAATAGTTGTGAAATTAGTCGATTTTATCGTTTAAACAATTCGGGATTCTGCCAAGTTATTTCGATGACCGTACCAAGAAAGGTTACTTCTTATTTTTATTTTTATTGCAATTGATTTAAATTTATTTAAGCTTCTTAAAAAATTTTTTTATTTCATTCTAAATTATTAAATTGAAAATTTTATTTCTTTACAGTCTGAATTATTTCAAGAAGATTTATATCCTGATACACCTGGTGATACTGCAGCAATTTCTGCTGAAGAATGGGCTGCTGGTACCGACGCAGAACCTATTTTAATTTCTTTAAGAGATGGTTATCAACCTACAGCGTCTAAAAACGAATTAAAATGTACTAAAAAAGCTAATGTACTTGGTAAAAGCACTAAAGTTGGAGCTAATGCACAAAATTCATCGCAGAATAATGCTAACTTTGTATGTAATTTTTTTTTTTTAATAATTTATATTTAATTAAAAGACATTTGATAATTTTCAGATTTTTTTTTTAACTAAAAAATTTTTACAAAAAAAATTTATTCTTAAAACTTATTTTTTTAATTTATATAAAAAAATTATAAAGTAAATATTTTAAAAATAATTTTTTATACTTATTTTATTTAAAAAAAAAAAAAAATCATCAAATGTCTGGTAATTTCAGTATCACATTTTTTTTTTTAATTATAAATTATTGTTTTATTTTAATTTAATTTTTTTTTTTTTTTTTTTTTTTTTTTTTCTAAACAGGAGGATATAATAAAAGAATTCTCCGAAGAGATAAGAAAGCTTAAAGCCGTTATCGTGAAGCACGAAGGAAGAATTCGCGTACTCGAGTCAGCAGTTGCATTGCAAATGAAAGAAGACGAAAGAGAAAGAAACGACAATAAAACTTCATCGTCTCCGGCAGAGAAAGAATTTTTAGCTTCGGACGAAGTATGATCATAAGGAATATTTTTTATAAAAATTTACTGGAAAAACTGAAAAAAAAAATATTAACGAGAAAGAAATATGTTTCATAGCGAACAGTGGTTCTTTTAACTTAACTGAATAATAATAAATTAATTAATTAATTAATTAATTGAAGAGTAAAATGTTAATGACAAATAACGAAATAAGATCGTATTATATTTAATGAAGTAAAAGTTATAGAAAAGTTTAAAAGTAATTGAAGAAATGATAAAATCGTGGACGAATAATTCGTGTAAATATTAGATAGTTAGCCGAGTTGCCTTATAATTAATATTCCGATCATTTTTTTTGCTACGATCTTTGTTATTTATTGTATTGTATTTACATCGTTAAATCATCGTGCCTATTTACCTGTTTTTACTGACGACTTTATTCGAATCTTTGTATTTTTAACAATTATTATTATTTTAATTATTATACATATGTATAGGTGAGCTCAACGACAAAGTATCTCGTTACCTGCTAATAATATCATTAACATGACAATGTTATATATTTATATATATATAACGTTATTTTTTGAAACTTTTAATGATAAAAATAATAATTAAACAAATTAAATATTTACTATTGTGAAATATTAATTGAATAACTCTAGCACAATCAGTGCCTCAATTTGTATAAAAAAATAAAAAAAAATAAAAAAAATAAATCTCTCCTTGAATTGACTGAGAGATTGACTATAAAAAAATTTACTTGCGTTTTTTTTTTTATAATTATAAAGAGTAATTTATGTAATTATAAAATTGGTTTTTTAATTTAAAATGAAGTGTTTAAAAAATGAAAATTATTTATCAATAAATTAATAATTAGCATGATTATTATGTTTTTTAAAAAAATCGATAAAATTAATTTTATAGATATTTGATCATTTTTATGAGAAATAAATTATGAAAAATTGACAGATAGAAATTTAATAAAAAATTGAAAATGCAATTTTTTTAAAATAATTTTTTTGTTAAAATAAAATAAAAAAATTATTAAGTGACTGATAATTTTAATGTCATGTAAATTTGTCAATGTAAAAATATTTTCATGGTAATTACCAATAATTATAATTAATAAAATTAACTGTAAGTTTTAAAAATCAATTGAAGCAAAAAGCAAATTAAAAAAAAAAAATTTTTTTTTCATTGAAAAAAATTTTAAAAAATTAAATAATGAAATTTGACATTTAGAAAATTAAAAAAATTCTGTTTAATTTTTTTACTTGAAATTTTTATTGATTCAAAAAAATCAAAAAATTTAAATTAATTTTAGGATCATTTCATTGAAAAAAATAATTTAAAAAAATTAAAAGATAAAATTTGACATTTAGAAAATTTGAAAAATTCTTAGTTTAATTTTTTTACTTAAAATTTTTATCGATTCAAACAAATCAAAGATTTAAATTAATATTAAGATCATTTCATTGAAAAAAATATTTTTAATGAATTAAAAAATAAAATTTTTCATTTACAAAATTTGAAAAATTCCTGTTTTTACTGACGACTTTATTCGAATCTTTGTATTTTTAACAATTATTATTATTTTAATTATTATACATATGTATAGGTGAGCTCAACGACAAAGTATCTCGTTACCTGCTAATAATATCATTAACATGACAATGTTATATATTTATATATATATAACGTTATTTTTTGAAACTTTTAATGATAAAAATAATAATTAAACAAATTAAATATTTACTATTGTGAAATATTAATTGAATAACTCTAGCACAATCAGTGCCTCAATTTGTATAAAAAAATAAAAAAAAATAAAAAAAATAAATCTCTCCTTGAATTGACTGAGAGATTGACTATAAAAAAATTTACTTGCGTTTTTTTTTTTATAATTATAAAGAGTAATTTATGTAATTATAAAATTGGTTTTTTAATTTAAAATGAAGTGTTTAAAAAATGAAAATTATTTATCAATAAATTAATAATTAGCATGATTATTATGTTTTTTAAAAAAATCGATAAAATTAATTTTATAGATATTTGATCATTTTTATGAGAAATAAATTATGAAAAATTGACAGATAGAAATTTAATAAAAAATTGAAAATGCAATTTTTTTAAAATATTTTTTTTGTTAAAATAAAATAAAAAAATTATTAAGTGACTGATAATTTTAATGTCATGTAAATTTGTCAATGTAAAAATATTTTCATGGTAATTACCAATAATTATAATTAATAAAATTAACTGTAAGTTTTAAAAATCAATTGAAGCAAAAAGCAAATTAAAAAAAAAAAATTTTTTTTTCATTGAAAAAAATTTTAAAAAATTAAATAATGAAATTTGACATTTAGAAAATTAAAAAAATTCTGTTTAATTTTTTTACTTGAAATTTTTATTGATTCAAAAAAATCAAAAAATTTAAATTAATTTTAGGATCATTTCATTGAAAAAAATAATTTAAAAAAATTAAAAGATAAAATTTGACATTTAGAAAATTTGAAAAATTCTTAGTTTAATTTTTTTACTTAAAATTTTTATCGATTCAAACAAATCAAAGATTTAAATTAATATTAAGATCATTTCATTGAAAAAAATATTTTTAATGAATTAAAAGATAAAATTTGACATTTACAAAATTTGAAAAATTCTAAGTTTAATTAAAAAAAAAATTTTTTTACTTAAAATTTTTATTGATTCAAAAAAAATAAAAAAATGTTAATTAATTTTAGGATCATTTCATTGAAAAAAATAATTAAAAGATAAAATTTGACGTTTAGAAAATTTGAAAAATTCTAAGTTTAATTTTTAAAAAAATTTTTTTACTTAAAAATGAATAAATTTTAAATATGAAATTTGACATTTAGAAAATTCTAAGCTTAATTTTATTACTTAAAATTTTTATTGACTAAGAAAATTAAAGCATTTAAATTAATTTCAAAATTATAATTTTGAATAAGACCCAAAAAAATTTCAAGGTAAATTTCAGTAAAACCCAAAGGACCAATCTGCTTCGGTAAAACCCAGTTAAATTTTTATAGCCAGCAAGAATGCTTGCATTCACATTGAATAGAGACCCCAACGGAAAAGAGAAAATAAAAAGTATGTATAAAGAATATTATAACGTATAGAATGTATAGTTAAGTACAGTAAGTCATGGAATAGGGAGTACAAAATATATGTAACATACAACAGACTCACCAGTGTAGCTATATAATGAATATATAGAAACTTGCGAAAACAGTTTCAGTATAGACACGCATCTCTCCGCGTTCCGTCAATCCGTATAATATAATATAATAAATCGTAGTTAAAAATTACTCTGTAATATACTTTCATTCATATATTTATTAGAAGACATTTCCGTCCAGGAAGCGCACCTGGAACTTGCAACAGAGCCACGTAAGTACTATATTGGAGTATGAATAAAGTAGACTAGTTATCTGGATTTAAAAATTAAAATCCGAGTTGTAAAAATGACTTATCATATCTGCGGCTCAAGTTACCCAGTAATACATGACGGTTCAAGACCTGCAACAAAACGTAAATAAAATACATTTAAATTGCATCAGAAAGAGAAGTTAGTTGTAATTAAATAAATTGCAGGAGAAAGTAAGAAGACTATAAATGTCTAGACTGTGAGACGGTGACTAGACTACTAATTTAATAAATTTTAAACATTTAAAATAAAATAATATTAACAGTGTTTACTTACTAATTTTTGTTTCTGCTTATCGCTTTTTACGTAACATAATTACGCACTAGCAAGTACATTTATTTATTATTGTTCAAGAATCCAACTATTGGAATGATAAATAAATGAGACTTGTTGCCACGTTATAATTTTAAATTTAGACAAAACTTCCTTCAAGGATCTTTAATCTTTAAATCTTGCCGGAAAGCTGGAATATTTTTTAAATTATGTTATTTTTAATTATTTAAAACACTGAAGTTAATTGGACTGACAAAAAAATTTTTTAAATAATTTTTGACTATTTAATTATTATAAAAAAAACTTTCTACAAAAGTGAAAATTAAATTTTTTAAATAATTTTTGACAATTAAATTATTATAAAAAAAAATTCTCAAGTGTAAAAATTAAATAAAATTATAAGTAGAAATTTTTTAAAGAATTTTTGGAATTTAAATTATAAAAAAAAATTTTCACATGTGAAAAATAATTTTTGAAAATTAAATTATTATAAAAAAAATTTCCACGTGTGAAAATTAAGTGGAAATTTTTTAAATAATTTTTTTTTATTTTAATTTATTTATAAAAAAAAATTGACAGTTCAGCTAACTTCAATATTATTATATTTGTGTTTATATTTACATTTCTTCTTATTTTCCGACAAAACAGCAGACGTTGGTTGAGAGCCACTGCTTTAAAGACCTTGAAAGCCTGAAATGAATTTTACTATTATAATTATTGGAATTTTCGATAGTTATTTGTTTTATTACATATATTAGGTGATTAACGGGAGGATATGGTGAATCTTGGAGTGTTAACTCGGCAAAACCGGCCGGTTTCTTTGTTAGTTTTTCAGACGGGATTTCATCGATCCCAAGTTTTATTTTTACCTATATGAACACATGCGTGTATAAGGATAGTTTTTTTTTTTATGCTAACGCCCAACTTTGTCAACTACTTTCTATTTTTTTTTTTTTTCCAAAACTCAATTATTTTATTTTGTAAAGAAATTTATTACCCGGTCCTAATTTTTACCTTGAATTTAAAATGCGGATTTTTTAAGGGGGAAAAAAAAATTATCAACAGATCTTGCTTATTGATTAGTTTTTTACACGAGGAAAAACAAGGTTTATAAACAGATTTTGTTTTTTTTAGAAAACAAGTTTTAATTTATTTTAATGAGAAGAAATAAAAATTTTATTGAAAAAATTTTTAGATTAAATTTAAGTAAAATAAATTTCTTCTCCATAAATTATTTTAATTAAAGAAGAAAAAAATTATTAAAAATTTTTTTTATAATTTATTAATTATTAATTTATTCAATTGAGAAGAAATAAAAATTTTTGGATTAAATAATTTCAGTAAAATAAATTTCTTTTTGATAAATTATTTTAATTAAAGGAGAAAAAATTATTAAATATTTTTTTTTTATAATTGATAAAAATTATTTAAATAATTTGTAAAATTTTAATCATTGAAAATTTTTTGTAAAATGATTTTTTAAAAATACAAACTGATTAAAATATATTTTTCTATATATATTATCGCATAAAAATTACTAGGATTAAAAAGAAAAAAGTAGACTAAATAATTATTGAGTATGTAAAAAGTATCAATTTCTCTGAACATACGTCATAATGTGTAATACCGTGAACACATACGAAAACACGACGTATTTATAAAGTAAATTAAAATAATGACTCATATGACGTCTGTACGATACGAATTCTTTCGAATAGAAAGATAATATTTCATTACACCGAATCAATACTTAGTCATTCAATATTCACTCAAAACATACACTTTTACGCACCAGGGAATTAAAAATCTTGAATGCTGTAATTAAGTCTATCTATGTAGATTAGTGGGGCTATTAAATAAACTTGAAAGAAGAAATACGAAAAATAACAGTCTGGCCCAAGGCCAATGACACGGAAGACTTAGAACAAAAAATATTTTTATAAACACAATCTTTAATCGTGATTATCAGTACTTGAGCACGATAATGATAAGGTGCTGATATAATGCTGTTTAAATGTACTGGTGACATCATTGCGCGTACCTGTTTTTATCAGTTAACTGCTATTTAGCCTTATCAAGTCCATTCGTACTCTATTTAAGTTTATTATTTCTTGTTTGCTCAGCAGTTAATTTTTGTATTGATCAGTTTTAGATTTTGAAGAAGAAATATGGATAAACATGGAGTACCTCTTGGACCGGGTGTTCAACCACCTCCACCTGGATTCGCTCCACCACCACCTTACAGTGCTGGAGCTCCACAGCCACCTCCTCAAGGACCTGGTAATTACTTTTATTTTATTATTATTTATTTGATTAAAAATTTTTTATAATAATCTCACAGCTTAAATTATTATTATTATTCAGAAATTTTTAATAATAATAATAACTAGAAATCTTGCAGTCACTATGTGACTGCCGTGACTTGTGAACTATACAAATGAATAAAATTTTGCTTTATTAAATAATGACTTTTGTTAAATTGCACTGTACATTTTTCAAGATATAAACTCATCCCGATATTACACTCATCAAGACCTTTCATTTGAGTACCCACATCAATTTTTCATATATTTATATATATTATATATATATATGTATAAATGAAAAATATATAAAAATGCATGTGGGTACTCAAATGAAAGCTCTTGATGAGTGTATCATCGGGGTGAGCTTATATCTTTAAAAATGTCAATTGTTAAGAAAATACAGTACAATTTATATTAACAAAAGTCATTATGTAATAATTCAAAGTTTTATTTTTTTTGAAAAATTTTGTTTCAATAATAATAATAAAATTTTCTTATATTTATATTACATCTGCATACTTCTCTGACACAATATTAAATTAAAATTCAAACTTATAGATATATTTTTAATACGAACGATGGTTTGTATCGATTAAGCGAGGAACCACTTACGAAATATATTAAATTACCGAAAATAGAAAGGCGTTCATCGAACCTGCGGTTATAAATTCATCTGTTGTAACTTTAATCCAAAGTGTACTTGTGTTTGCAATATTTTATTTATTATTCACGACCCGATACCACTTCAATTATTTTTATTTATAACACACGATAAACAATAAATGGTCATTTCTTAATTATTTATAATAATAATAATAATAATAATAACGTCCAAAAATTGAATATTAGAAATATTAATTAATAATTATAAAGCCATAAATTTAAATAAATTTAACAAAGTAATTAACAATAAAGATTATAATTAATATTTACTTATATTCCAGGAGTAATTTTTATCCAGCAATCAACCTTTGGACCAGATACAATGAGATTAAACTGTCCTCATTGTCACGCAGATATTTCCACAAGAGTAGAAACAGAACCGAGTACCAAAACTCATCTTTTTGCTCTACTGCTTTGTCTTGTCGGGTAAGAAAAATATCCATAACAATAAAACTCATCCTCTGGAAGCTAACAACCGACCTTTTTAATTCGCTCCATAAATTTCCTCAAAAGGTCAAGCGTCAAATGTCGCGTCTCTGACATCATTATACTAACAAAAAACTTTTAAAAATAGCTTCTGAAAAAAATTAAACAGCTGTTAGAAAATACTCTTACATAACTTTATATCATTAATTAGTATTATTTTAAAATACGTACAATACGTGCTGGAATGCGATGTCACTTATTATGTTCATCTCTAAACATCCGGTGAATTCTTAATTACCGCCTTCAATTATCATACTTCTCTTTGTTCACTTTATCGATTTATTTAGTCTAAAAAAAAAAAAAAAAAATATTTCTATTGTTAATAAATAATTTATCAAATTTTCAGATGCTGGTGCTGCGCTCCGTGTCCTTACTGCATGGACAGCTGCTTGGTGAAGAAACATTACTGTCCATCATGCAGCCAATACCTCGGAAGCTACGAGAATTAATTCGATTAATATTTTACATTTTATAATTCCGTTTTTCTGACGAATTTATTTAACTCCTTAAAAATGCTTATGCATTTGCGCCATTAAATGATAAATTCATTTTCCTTAAATGATAAATAATTTAAATTATATTTTTAATTTTTAAATACCAGAAACTTTACATTAATTTTTTTATGTCTAAGTGCCTAGAGTTAAGATAATTAATTTAAAAATTTGGAATATTTTTTTAATAAGCTAAAAACTTTCTATGTCCGTTTTTTATCTTCACTGAAGATATTTTTCCAATACGGCTTTATAAATATTACTAGGCATTTACTCAATTATTTTTTAATGCAAAAAGTTAATTGCTTTCAATGTCCTAGTAATTTTATTGATTTCATTAAATATTAAAACACTTTCTATATTATACAAATATAAATATTATACTGGGAATAAAAAAATATTTATTATTTAAATAAGAAAAATATTTTTTATGACTACACGTTGAAAAAATAATATTCACCTTGCTGTTAAAATTTTTATGAATAAATAATATGCTGTTAAAATGAATTATTAATATTGTAATGTGTGTATTTACTTATTTTTATTAAAATTTATAAATTTATTTAATTATTTTTTTATTAAAAACCTACTTTTATATTTCTTCATTATTTTTATGAAGAATATTAAATTTTAATTAATAAAAAATTATTTGATAAATTTTTTTATAAAAAAAAAATTTTTATCTGAAAAAAATTAATAAAATAGTTACCATCAAGATAAGTACAAACAATAATGATAATAGTAATAAATAATAAAAAGAGTATAAATAGCCCAAGGAATTTATCTACACGATTCCCATCAGTCAGTCGGTATAACTGATATCGAGCACTTCGGTCTACGTTTACAAATAAAAAATATTTTAAATTCAAAAAATATTTACAAAACATGAACAATCAAGCACCAGGTACAATAACTTTATTTTTTATTTTCTTCTTACTCTTATTTGCTTTACATTTAGACACGTCACCTCTAGTTTTGATAAATAAACAAACGAATAATATTTCTTAACAAGCTTAATTTATAGTACTGCAGTAATTATCAAGAATCTAGCTTTATTTTCTTGGAAATAGTTTCTTTTATAACTAGAAATTGAATTAATGAATGGTTAGTGTACGTGAAGTATACTTAGCGAAAGATTTATTTACGATTAAATATATTTTCTAGCAGCAACATATGTTATTATTAAACACATTTTACCTTGCACTTATTTAAACAATAAAGCTAGTTAATTTTAGAGACAAGGATAGAAATTAAATATTTTAAATAATACAAAACAAAATTAAAAAAAAAATTAATCATAATTTTTAAAAAATTTTAAACAGAAGTTATTATTATTATTATTATTATTAACTTTTAAAATAATAATAATAATAATAATAATAAGCGGTGCTTGCTACGTGGCCTCCAAGCGGCGCATCGCGGGAAACGCAGACCATAACACCAGGTCTGTAGGCGAACGACGTAGCCGATGCAGTGGGCCAACTACCCACTGCATTGAAATACACCAAAGACCGATGTTACCGGGAACTATCCAACACCTGAGCGGGTGGAAGCTTTTTGGACTGAGTTGTATGGAGATCAACCAAACGTGAACGCCAATACTCCAGCTCTGCATGACTTCAAAGCATTCTGTCAGGAACACCGTAGACAGAATGCTCATGAAGAAAGCCCTGCAGTCAGTGTGGATGAAGTTCGTTCAGCTCTAAATGGCAGCAAAAATTGGGCTGCCCCGGGACCAGATGGCATTAATGTCTTCTGGTGGAAGAAGTTCACTTCTACCCACCTTCATCTGGCCCACATATTTACATCGTACATTAGAGCTGACGAACCGATTCCAGACTGGCTTGTGGAAGGGCGAACCGTACTGATACCTAAAAAAGGTGACTTGTCTGACCCAAAGAATTACAGGCCTATCACCTGCTTGAATGCGGTTTATAAAATTTTTACGAAAATTTTAAACAACCGTATTTTGCAGGAGATAGAACCTGTATGGCAACAGATATATGAACAGCGTGGCAGCAAAAGAGGCCTGTCAGGTTGCAAGGAGAACTTGATAGTTGATCGATGTGTCATACAAGATGCAATCTACTATCAACGCAACCTTTCAATGGCCTGGATCGACTATCGCAAAGCATTTGACTCAACTCCTCACGAGTTGATCCTATATCTCCTCAAGTGCCTAGGGGTCAATCCTGAAATAGTGGAATGCATTCGGCGTACAATGGAGCTCTGGCGAACGCGTTTTCACATTGGAAGTGGAAACGCATTGCACATAACCGGAGTTGTAGAGTACAAACGAGGGGTCTTCCAAGGCGATTCCTTGAGCCCTCTGCTGTTTTGCATTTCACTGCTGCCTATATCTGTTGCTCTCCGTAAAATTCGTGGGTACTCTGTGGGCCCCCGGGTGATCGAAAATACTCGATCACCCATCTGCTTTACATGGATGATCTGAAGCTGTATAGTGCTAATGAAGATCATCTACAGGCGGCCCTTAACATCGTAGCAGAGTACACACGAGAGGTCGGAATGTCTTTTGGGTTGG